GCTGCTCTCTGAAAGCATGTGCTACCGCTGGAGCCTCCAGACGCTTAGTATTAAAACCTCTTCTGAATGCTTGCTGCCTTTGCCGTTTTGGGGCAACGTGAAGTGAGAGCTTGGATCTGACAAGTCGATGATCAGTGTCACAGTGGACTGAGCCACGCATGGCACGGGTGATGGGGACGTCTCGGCGAACTCTTTCTCTGACAATGATGTAGTCAATGAGATGCCAGTGTTTGGGTCTTGGGTGTTGTCACGAACCCTTGAACTTGTCGGCCTGCCTAAACAGGGTATTGGTGACAGTGAGGTTGTGTGCAGCACACTTGCTGAGGAGGAGTAGGCCGTTGGGATTACACTTGCCTAGTCCATTTCTCCTTATGGTTCCCTGCCAAATGTTAGCATCTCTGCCAACTCTGGCATAGAAGTCACCAAGGAGCACAACCTTGTCTTCTCTGGGGATAGATGTTAGCACTCTGTCGAGGTCGGCGTAAAAGGTCTCCTTGATGTCATCCTCTGCATCCAGTGTTGGAGCGTATCCACTGATGAAGAAGGCATGACGTGAGTGATTCAATGGGACTCGAAGCGTCATGAGGCACTCGTTGATCCCAATAGGCATTTCAGTTAGCCTGTGTAGGATGCGTTGGCGGATGGCAAAGCCAATTCCATAAATGTGATTTCTCTCCGCAGCAGGCTTACCCTTCCAGAAGAAGGTGTAGCCAGACCCCCGTTCTGTGAGTTGGCCCTCATTTGGGAGCCGGGACTCACTGATGGCTGCTATGTCGATGTTATACCTAGCCAACCCTTTTGCCACAAGGGCAGTTCTTCGTTCAGGAAGCTCATTTGTGTCAGTATCTAGCAGGGTCCTGACATTCCATGCAGCGACCATAAGAGGTTGTATGGTTTGTTTTTGTTTGGATCTGTGATTTTGGTTGTGTTTTCGACCGCATAAGGATGACCTTACAGGGTGCGGTTGCCCAGTCAGGTTGGGTTTTTAGGCAGGCTATGTTTAGGGCACCTTCTCTAGCTCCCTCCCCATGTGGGGTGAGCAGAGTGGCTCCCAGAAAGGGCTGCTCAGTCGCACAGACAGGACAGGATTGCACTGCTGCCTAGATCCCAGTGCATAAACGACCATCTTATCTGAGAGGTATGATGAACTGGATGATGGCTGTGCGTGAGTTGATTTATGTGGTGAGGCAGGAGCGGAGGCTGCAACCACACACCTTGGGTCTCCTCTTTCCTGATCCAGTGGTGCAGGTGCTGCAACGACTGGGGAGAGGGAGAGTCGCAATGGACTGCCGATAGCCCAGTTTGTTGGGTTTCGCCTTAGCAGCCTGTCCATCAGGTATTGCCTTCGTCCGCCGGTGTAGTCGTTGGGTTTCCACGGTGGTCACCTCTTCCTCCTATACCACCGTTGGGGTCCTGTTGGAGCTCTGTAAGCATGTCTGCCTGATGCGGGGCTCCACAGCAGATTTTTCGTTTGGGGTTTACTCCCATAGCTTTATACCAACCAAGGTTAATCCGCAAGGCAGTGGGGCAGTGGTTGGCAAGTGCCAGGACGTGTCCACATGCCAGTGGGCCTTTGCACCGTCCCTCTGGAGCCCACTGCTACTCCGAGATCCCCTGCTGATCTAGTCTGGTCCCAAGAGGCACCCAGTTACCGTGTGTTGCCACGAGGAGGCACAGCAGGAGTCTTGATGGTGAGGAGACTGTGTACTTGCAGGGGAAAACTTATGCAAGTTGCTTCCCTGTTCGCCACGAGGGCTAGCCATTTGCGGCAGCTGAAAGTGAGAGGGAGCAAGCAGTGCTTGCACCTTAACACTAACATATGCTGCCACTCTAGACGCGTTTCACCACCCTGTGTGTGATACACACACACACACACCTCGCCACAACAGGATGCAGCAACAGTTGGCCTGTACAAAAACCTGTCGTGTTGGTGTCAGAGAAGAATGGCTCGCTGTTCTGGTGTGTCGCTTGGGTGTATGGGGCGCCGGGGAGGAGTCGCTAGAGAGAGAGAGAGAGAGAGAGAGAGAGACCAAACTACAGCACTGTACTTAAAAACCAAATGTCTAAGTAAAAAAACAAATACCACGTAGTAACCAAAGGAGGAAGAGAGACAGCAACAAAGGCTCTCACACTCACTGTCACAGGATGGAACAACGAAATAGTGTTGCCGCGAGTGTTGTTGAGGGATAACTTAATATTCTCCAGGTATGTATTGCTCGATACACCTGTCGCCTGTACCTGTGTCACGATTTCTCCTCCTGTGTTGATTTATTAACTCCGACGTTATCTAAAATTCAACACTATAGCATTCTAATGACTCACTTGTATCACTGTGTTGATTTTTGGACGGTATTTCCTACGCATAATCTCTCTCTCTCTCTCTCTCTCTCTCTCTCTCTCTCTCTCTCTCTTTCTCTCTCTCTCTGACCATTTAATTCCACCAATTTTACCATATTAATCTTTTTTCTTTCTTCGACAATATATGAGTGACATTATCTTACCGGACTGACTCAGCCAGGTGCCAAAAATGACCTCATTGTTTACAAACACCGGAGTCCGTCACATCAGCTGTTCGAACGTAAACAGAAGATAACCCGTTCATAAAAGGCGAAAATTGAATTATTAAGTGGCGTCTTCTCATCCTCCTCCTTATCTTCCACCTCCTCTTCCTCGCTCCCTCCTTCTTCCCGTTCTTCCTCCGCTTTCTCTTCCTCCTTTATATCTGCCTCCTTCCCGTCCTCTTCCTCCTTCTCATCTTCCCTCCCCCCTCCTCTCTTCTCCTCCCCTCTTCTCCTAATCATCCCCCTTCCCCTTTCTCCTCCTCCTCCTCATCGCAAGTGTGCCATTTATTCTCTGTTATCACTTCCCCGTCTCTTACACTCTTTCCTTTGGTGTCAATTTGCGTGTGAATAGCCAAACCATTGCCAGACTTCATCAGACTTCAATTCTCATCATCTTAGTTAAAAATTCCATGATATTTTTCCTCCTTTTCAAGCCAGTTTTCATATGGAAAATCTAATTATTCATGGTACATTTGCTTCTTGGAGGGGAGGCGGGGGTGAGGCAAGGAAGACCGAGAGAAGGAAGGAGACTGAGGGAAAGAAGGAGCATTAAGACGCCACTAAAGGAAGGGGAAAGATAAAGATAGACTGAGGGGAAGAAGGAGACAGAAGACGCGAGTAAATGAGGGATAAGGAGACATTGATGGATGAAGAGGTGGAAGGAAGATGCTAAGGTCTTATCACCCGTCACTCCACCCATCCATCACACTGAGAGCCTTGTGTATGTAAGGCGGTAATCATTCACAGTAAAGACTTTATTAAACTCTCTGGATTCCTCGTCATTTTTTAATCCTTACTTTAAAGCTATTGGTCTTTGCTTTATTTTAACAACAACAACAACAACAACAACAACAATAACAATAACAATAATAATAATAATAATAATAATAATAATAATAATAATAATAAAAACAATAATAATAATAAAAACAATAATAATAATAACAATACTAACAATAATGACAATAATAACAATAATAATAACAAGAACAACAATAATAATAATAATTTTATAAAAAAAAAAAAATATATATATATATATATAATAATAATAATAATAATAATAATAATAATAATAATAATAATAATAATAATAAAAATAATAATAATAATAATAATAATAATAATAATAAAAAACACCTGTACAGCTAATTAACTCTCGTAGCCAGGTATAATCAGGTAAGATGCTGTGCCTAATTAATTAAGATAAATGAAGCCAGACTATCGTTCATCTTCAACTCCCTCTTACAAATTACTCTTTACCTGTTCTTATGGGTTATAACTCACAGCTCCCACTGTCTCCAGCAGACAGCGTGAACAGCAGACAGTGTGGATAGCAGGCAGTATGGACAGTAAGCAGACTCAGTAGTAGACAGACTCGATAGCAGACAGATTCAGCAACATAAAGATTCGGGAGCAGACAGATTTAGAGTTAGCAGCAGACAGACTTAATAGCATGAAAATTCAGCAGCAGCAGACAGACTCAACAGCAGACAGATTAAGCAGCAAACGGATTCAACAGCAGACATATTCAACATCAGATAGATTCAGCAGCACACAGACTCAACAGCAGACAGATTCAGCAGCAGACAGCCTCAACAGCAGACAGATTCAACAGCAGACAGATTCAACAGCAGACAGATTCAACAGCAGGCAGATTCAACAGTAGACAGATTCAGCAGCAGACAGAATCAGTAGCAGACAGGCTCAACAGCAGACAGATTCAGTAGCAGACAGACATACGGTTCATCACTTCCTATCAACATATTTGTTATCGTGACACTTGTTATCGTGACACTTGTTATCGTGACACCTGTTATCTTGACACTTGTTATCGTGACACTTGTTATCGTGACACTTGTTATCGTGACACTTGTTATCGTGACACTTGTTATCGTGACACTTGTTATCGTGACACTTGTTATCGTGACACTTGTTATCGTGACACTTGTTATCGTGACACTTACTTGTTATCGTGACACTTGTTATCGTGACACTTGTTATCAATGACGCCGCGGTATCGACACTTGTGTGACACTTGGTATCGTGACACTTGTTATCGTGACCTTACTTGTTATCGTGACACTTGTTATCGTGACACTTGTTATCGTGACACCTGTTATCCTGACCTTGCCTTGTTTATCGTGACGCCGCTTGTTATCGTGACGCCTTGTTATCGTGACACTTGTTATCGGCCGACCTTGTTATCCGGCACCTGTTATCGTGACACTTGTTATCGTGACACCTGTTATCCTGACACTTGTTATCCTGACACTTACTTGTTATCGTGATACTTGTTATCGTGACACTTGTTATCGTGACACTTGTTATCGTGACACCTGTTATCCTGACACTTGTTATCCTGACACTTACTTGTTATCGTGATACTTGTTATCGTGACACTTGTTATCGTGACACTTGTTATCGTGACACACTTACTTGTTATAGAGGACAATATCAGGCAGCCAGATGATCTCGGAGGGGACGTAGAGCTCCATCACGCCGCCGTACTCCTCTGGGTCCCACTGGAACTTGTGGTCACTCCACTGCTGCAGGGGGCAAGACATAACGTGTTAGTAACTCGCCAGGTGTTAGTGACTCGCCAGGTGTTAGTGACTCGCCAGGTGTTAGTGACTCGCCAGGTGTTAGTGACTCGCCAGGTGTTAGTGACTCGCCAGGTGTTAGTGACTCGCCAGGTGTTAGTGACTCGCCAGGTGTTAGTGACTCGCCAGGTGTTAGTGACTCTTCAGGTAAGTGTTAGTGACTCGCCAGGTGTTAGTGACTCGCCAGGTGTTAGTGACTCATCAGGTAAGTGTTAGTGACTCACCAAGTAAGACAGGAGCAGAAATAATCTCTCCCTGACAATTTAATTCATATTGGCTGAAGAATAAACTAATTAGCATTTTTTGGTATTTAAAGAAGAGAGGCTTAAGTATTCTGTCACTTTAGGTACGTAAGGTACTAAGGGTCAGTAGAATAACCCACTTACCGTTTTAGGTATTCAAGGGAAACTAGCTTAACTAATTTGTCATTTTAGGTATTTAAAGGAAAGATAAATAACATCGATGTCCTAATTTAGGTAATGGACAGTAAAATTCCCGAGTTTTGAAGAGAATTTTTGGTCACCTTAAAATATGGACGGGCGAGAACCTGTTGTATTATGTATGGTGAAGGAATTACATTTTTTTATCCCATTCTCTTAGCTTTATCCTTGACTCGTGTCTCTCTTCCTGTTATAGTCTTGAGGTTTTTCTCACGGTCAATCTACGAGAGAACAGATGGATAAAAGGAGAAGTTGTATATGTAGCAAAGATGAAAATTACCATTGTACAACAAACTCCCAGATGAAACAAACTCGATACATAGATGAATTACAGAAAGAAATACAGTATGTAACTTGATAATCCCTTTTTGAAATTTTTGATACATAAAGCTCTCATGAACGTAACAAAATCTATATTATGTAATACAGAAAATACGCAAAGTATCTGATCGAATAAGCTTTCCATGTTGATTCTTAGGATAGGGTCTGATTGTCTAAACCGCAGGAGGGGGAACGTTGAGGCCATGCAACGAACGGGGAGGAGGAGGAGGAGAAGGAGAAGGAGAAGGAGAAGGAGAAGGAAGAGGAGGAGATGGAGAAGGAGTCGAGTAATCCACTTCTGGTTTTATTGGCTGGGAAGGAAGTCTTGTCGGCCCCTTGAGTCTATTCTTCAAGGGTCAGTAGTCACGACAATATTGGATCCTGAGGGTAAGAGTGTTTGGTGGTGCCTGCTGATATACCTGACCCCTGGTGGTGCCTGCTGATATACCTGACCCCTGGTGGTGCCTGTTGATATACCTGACCCCTGGTGGTGCCTGTTGATATACCTGACCCCTGGTGGTGCCTGTTGATATACCTGACCCTGGTGGTGCCTGCTGATATACCTGACCCTGTGGTGCCTGTTGATATACTGACCCTGGTGTGCCTGCTGATACTGACCCTGGTGGTGCCTGTTGATATACCTGACCCCTGGTGGTGCCTGCTGATATACCTGACCCTGTGGTGCCTGCTGATACCTGACCCCTGGTGGTGCCTGCTGATATCCGCTGTGTCCTGCTGATATACCTGACCCTGTGGTGCTTATGATATACCTGACCCCTGGTGGTGCCTGCTGATATACCTGACCCTGGTGGTGCCTGCTGATATACCTGACCCCTGGTGGTGCCTGCTGATACCTGACCCTGGTGGTGCCTGCTGATATACCTGACCCCTGGTGGTGCCTGCTGATATACCTGACCCTGGTGGTGCCTGCTGATATACCTGACCCCTGGTGGTGCCTGCTGATATACCTGACCCCTGGTGGTGCCTGCTGATATACCTGACCCTGGTGGTGCCTCTGATATACCTGACCCTGGTGGTGCCTGCTGATATACCTGACCCTGGTGGTGCCTGCTGATATACCTGACCCTGGTGGTGCCTGCTGATATACCTGACCCTGGTGGTGCTTGATGATATACCTGACCCCTGGTGGTGCCTGCTGATATACCTGACCCTGGTGGTGCCTGCTGATATACCTGACCCCTGGTGGTGCCTGCTGATATACCTGACCCTGGTGGTGCCTGCTGATATACCTGACCCCTGGTGGTGCCTGCTGATATACCTGACCCTGGTGGTGCCTGCTGATATACCTGACCCTGGTGGTGCCTGCTTATACCTGACCCTGGTGGTGCCTGCTGATATACCTGACCCTGGTGGTGCCTGCTGATATACCTGACCTGGTGGTGCCTGCTGATATACCTGACCCTGGTGGTGCCTGCTGATATACCTGACCCTGGTGGTGCCTGCTGATATACCTGACCCTGGTGGTGCCTGTTGATATACCTGACCCTGGTGGTGCCTGCTGATATACCTGACCCCTGGTGGTGCCTGCGATATACCTGACCCTTGGTGGTGCCTGCTGATATACCTGACCCCTGGTGGTGCCTGATATACCTGACCCTGGTGGTGCCTGCTGATATACCTGACCCTGGTGGTGCCTGCTGATATACCTGACCCTTGGTGGTGCCTGCTGATATACTCCACCCCTGGTGGTGCCTGCTGATATACCTGACCCTTGGTGGTGCCTGCTGATATACCTGACCCTGGTGGTGCCTGCTGATATACCTGACCCTGGTGGTGCCTGATGATATACCTGACCCTGGTGCCTGCTGATATACCTGACCCTGGTGGTGCCTGCTGATATACCTGACCCTGGTGGTGCCTGCTGATATACCTGACCCCTGGTGGTGCCTGCTGATATACCTGACCATTGTCTCATATGCGTCACTCCCTCCTCCTGCTGCTGCTCCGAGCCTTTCCTGGCCCTCGACTCCTCCTTGAGTGTGACTTTTGATCATTAACTCATTTAAGTGTAAAGTTCAAGTCTTAACTCCACTTATGTGTAACTCGATCTTGACACATTACTCCTCAACCGCTCTTCACTACAGAGACGCCACTTTTAATCATTTATTTGGCAAGTTCCACCACACTGCCCACGACACCTGAGGACGGAATGGGGTAGGGAGGGAGGGAGGGGGGGGTGACAGTGTACAACATGAGTAAAAAAATGAAAAAGAAAAAATAATCAAGGTATTTGGTCAGTATTGTGTTCAAATGTCATTAGGTTCCGAGGTTAAAAAGTGCTCAACGTCCAGACAACCAACCAACCAAGACACGTGAAAATAAATACGTTGGACGCTTGTTGGACTGACACGCCGACAACTGTGATTCGACCCGTTCATCTCTGTCTCGCTCTCTTTCTCTCTCTTTCTTTCACTTCCATTTTTATTTCCTTCATTCCCCGCTCCTCTTTTGTCGCTGCCGTATTTAATAAGACTTTACCTCCCTCTCAATCTTCAATCTCACTCTGCCTGTCTATCCATCTATTTATTTATCCATCTTATCCTTCATTTTCTCACTGTATTCAATTTACTCCTACTCCTCCTTCTCCTCTCCCTCCTCTCCTCCTTTACCCCTCCTTCACCTCCTCCCTTCACTCCTTCCCTCACCTCCCCTCACCCCCTTCCCTCACCTCCCACTTCACCCCTCCCTCCTCCTCCTCACCTCCCTCCCCCCTTCCTCACCTCCCTTACCCCTCCTTCCTCCCTCCCTCCCCACCCCCTTCCCTCTCCACTTCAACCCGCCTTCACTCCCTCCTCCCTCCCTCACCCCCCCTTCCCTCACCTCCCACTTCCCCTCCTTCACCTCCTCCCTCACCTCTCTCCCTCCCCTTCCCTCACCTCCCTTCCCTCCTTCACCTCTTCCCTCCCACCTCCCTCACCCCCCCTTCCCTCACCTCCCACTTCACCCCTCCTTCACCTCCTCTCCCTCCCCTCCTCTCCCACCCCCCCTTCCCTCCACCTCCCCACTTCACCCCTCCTTCACCTCTTCCCTCACCTCCCTCACCCCCTTCCCTACCTCCCCTTCACCCCTCCTTCCTCCCTCCCTTCACCCTTCTTCCCTCCTCCTCCTGCAACTCTTTCCTGGCAAAAACTCAGGCGACAAATCAAACGTTCAGGCATTTTCACCTCGTCAGCAGAAATCAAGGCGGGTTAGCAAGTCGGGTTAGCAAGTCGGGAGAGAGTCAGGAGAAGTCAGGGGTACGTTTAGACTGGGATAATAGATCAGTTGGACCCATGAAGACTGAAACCCACAAGTCCTGGAACCCATAAAGACTGGACTTCAGACCTATAATTCTCTATTCCATCCAAACCTCATGAAAAAGTTGGTACAGGAATCACAGTTACATAACAATCTCTGTATTCCTGTAATGTCTTCAGAATTTATGGTTCCTCGAAAATTTCATTCATTCCGAGCCTGGGGTGAAGAACAACATGGTGTGTGTGTGTGTGTGTGTGTGTGTGTGCGTGTGCGTGCGTGTGCGTGTGCGTGCGTGTGCGTGTGTGTGTGGTAGAAAGCTATAAATCTTATGTTAATCGCGACACATCTGACTTCAAGCCAACAAGCAGCTCTGAAATGATTCGCCTCCGGCATAGATCAATGATCCTGTGGTGTGTGTGTGTGTGTGTGTGTGTGTGTGTGTGTGTGTGTGTGTGTAGGGTTAGTGTGTAATATTTTCAAAAGTCTTCCCATGAACACACTAGTCTTCTTCTTTAGGTCATGTTCAGTGGTAATCTTCATTTTCTTTCTATTCTCTCTTTCAGTCCTGGTAATTATCACTAAACATTTTACTTTTCAGTGGGTCAGTCATTCTTACCAGTGTGCTAATCATAATTCGACTCCTTTTCACTTTTAAGCGTCCTCCATTTCTTGCAGTCAGTCAGGTGAAATAAACTGAATTATTTAATCTTCACGTACTCCAAGAATTCTTCTCATTGGTGTGGTTTCAAGAGGTGTTTCATCAGACGCAGTACTCTCTAGGCCCCTGTGTTGACCTGTGCTCAGCTTTACTCAAGACTAAGATGAATAACAGAAGACAAACAGACCAAGACGCCAGGCACCAGACAAAAGCCCTCCGAGGACGAGCCTTGACTTGAAGATCTTTGATTACTTTTCCTTGATAAGTAT